AATAAATTATATTTGTCCGAGTATCTAACAGGATATGCTCTGTATAATTCAGTCAGATAATGACGGATAATTTCTTGACATAATTGTAATAATAATAAACTTTTTTACATTTCATTACAATATTTTTCTCAATCGTGATAAAAATTTCTTACATAGTACACATATCACTGTCATTAGATGCAACAAAAATACATCTGTCGTTTTTCGTGAATAATTATATGGAGAATAAAACATTCTTCTCAAAATTTAAGTAAGTCTATTAATACAAGTATCGAGAATCCTATTCTTCTACATAACATTTTAATAACAAATCTGAAGAATTTTTGAAAATTAATTTTTTCTTCAAAAAGCTTGGAAATATTACAATTTTATTTTTAACAATAGATATATAAATAAGTATCAAATTGAAAATTTGATAAAATAAAGCTTTCTTAAAATTGAATAAAAAATAAAGCTTGAATATGCATTTGCACCGAGGCATATCTTATTAAATTTTTAATTTCAGTTGCTCGTAATTAAAAATGGATATCTCATTAAAGAAAAATCAATTTCAGATTTAAGCAAAGAATGTGCGATTGAAATTTGCTAGGATGGCTTCTGCGGAAAAGTATAAGAGACAGTCACATATCAAATTATAAAGATTTAATAAAACACAAAACCCGAAACGGGATTATGATTCTATCGCGGCAATCGAGTATCTCTCGTCATAATCCGCTAAAAAAAATGACACATCCGAAAGTACGCCGACCAAACGGGGATGATCGAGTATTCGAAAAAGAGCTACGCTAATCCGAGCGAAGCGATCACTCACTCTGAAGATTGATGGCCGACGGGAAGATGGAGGCGGCGTGCCGGTGAACTTCCTGGGACCTGGCGGCCATTACGGAGCACGGGGTCGAGTGGGCCCCGTGGTGTGCGTGGGTGTGGGAATGCGCGGTATGATGGGCCGTAAGCGGGGTGCCGCCGGCCGCGGCGCCGGCGGCGGCCGCGTTACCGGGATAGCCGGCGGCCCGTGCCGCGGTGTAGCGATAAGCCGCCTGGCTCATCTGCGAGCACGAGCTCAGGTCGCCGTAGCTGCATTGCATCTCGCCGGCGGCCAGGGCGCAGCTGGACGCTTCGAAGCCGGCGGCCGCCGCGGCCGCGGCCTGATTCAGATACGAGTAGTCCATGACGCCGGCTGCCGAGTAAATCCCACTTGACGTTACTCAGGCGACACTTGCTCTCTTCCGTGCCTCGGTAACCGGTAAAAGGGACTCGCGCGAGACGGCTTCTCGGCGACGCGCACTCGGAAAGATCGGTGGCGGTCGCGACCGGTGTCTATCGCATTTGATGATGCGTCCTGAGATAGGGGGATAATATATCTCTCTGTGTAAACTTGATGAAAAAAAAAAAAATGAAGACACTCGTTGCGAGAAGAGAATGCGGATGCGACGAGACGGACGCGGCGCGAGGTCTATGCGCGAGTTGCCACGCGTGTCTTATCCGGGCCCGTTAACACGCGCGTTCCTGGGCCCGCTTGACCGCGGGTAAGTCCCGGGTAGACGCCGAGGGTAAAAGCGGCACGCCGCTCTCTCGTCGGCGACGCTTCAGCGAGACCGGGAACCGGGCCGGGGCCGCCGGCTGGGCTCCTCGATAGCGGCTTATGACGCGTAATCGGATCAGCGATATCAAATTATTGCGATTACACCGCGGATAGGAAGAAGTTTTTCGGCCCGCTTAAGAGCGCCCCGTACGACCGACTGGTGGGTCTCCTCAAAATCAAATGATAAGCTTAATTCAATAACCGCCGGTACCGCGGGTAGGAGTGTGGGTGTGGCCGCGGTTGTATCCACGGGGGGGTTGCGTTTCATGGGGTGCTCGTCCCGAGGCAGCTGATTCGTCGGCGGGCGAGCCATCCCTGTTACAGGAACGGGGGTTGAAACGCCGCCCCGACAAGTCGGCAACGCCGACTTTCACCCCTCCCGAGGTTTATGCTGGGCCACCCCCGGGTTACGAGCCAGACGGCCCTCTTCTCCAAACGGCCATCAGCCCGAATGAGTGCTATCATTCGATGACGCGCCCCTCCGGCCACCCCACCCTCCGGCTTTACGATCGATCTCCGCGAGGAGACATCGGCGACGGAGGACGCCGCTATGTCCTGGCCGCTCCAGTGGACACGAGGAGCCTGCAGGAGGCTACGTCGCGTCCTGTAGCGCGGCGAAGATCCTCGGAGCTGTTTACACCTGCGTGCTGTGCCGCGCCGTGCGAAGGATACCTATCACACGGGCCGGATCATTCGCGTCGTGTGACGACGCTAAAACGCCTGAGTTAGACACTTTCTGACCGCGAAAGATTAGATTAAAGAGAGAAAAAATAAGAGAGAGAGAGAGAAATATCGTCCCTTAGTTTTTCTTGAATGTGTATACAAAAATATCGGTCTATTTTTATATACAAATATAATTTATGTAATAATTGCCATCGCTCGTAGGGCAAGTTTTTTCAGTTACTTCGAACTTATAACATTATCGCAATCGCAAATAGATTTGATTTTATTCATCTTATCCATCGGATTGATTAAATAAAAATTATCTTTAAGATCTCCTAATAATATTAATTTAATGGGAAAAAGTATAACAATGATGAAAATCTTAGGATCAGTTTGGGAATGTTCTCTTTTTATTAAAACCTGAAGAATTTTATTTATGAGATATACCAAAAATATGTCAGGAGATGATCTGACATGGTTGAGAAGATGGCAATTATCATCTTGGTTAAATCTGTATTAAAAGAATGATTTTTTATATATTTAATGAAACTGTTAAAAAATGAGCTGTCATTTTTCTGCAATTCAATTTTTATTACAAATTAAAGCTGATCATTTTGATGCAATAAATTAATCGTTCTGCTTTTCAAGTATTATTTCTCTATAATCAAAATGTCAATTTCAATCATATCGGATGCATGGAAAACTGAACTTGCTAAAATTATATCGGTTTCGTTATTAGTGATGGAAATTATAAGAGAAAAGAGAAAATAAATTATAAAAGACAAGTCTCGCATCGACCAGAAAAATTGAGCTCTTTTTAACACATAAAGTGAAAAACTATATTTGTGAACAGCTCCCAATATGTGTGTCTTAATATTAAGCTCTTTTATTAACAATTTTTCTAATTTATTATTGTAAATTTATTATTACAGCTCATATAGCCGGACCTAAATTAAAATAATGCATGAAATCTAAAAATATCAATATAAATATCAGTAAATAAATTATATTATGAAGAAAAGATATAGTATATAGTGCAAGTATTTACAAACATGCCAAAGGGATATCGACTATTTTAAAGAATCAGAAATTTAATATTTTTGTTATTATTTGTTATAATTTTTAATTTTTACGATATTAAAGTATAAAATAATTAAATATAATTTAGTAATATTAATATACCTATATTTTATTCATTAAAAAAGTAATGACTTCCCTGTTTCTATAAAAGTAATGCAATATTTTTGACCGGTATATATATATATATATATATATATCAGGTCTATATATATATATACATATAAAGAAAGAAAGAAAGAAAGAGAGAATATTTAATCAATCGTATGTTTTCTAGTAAAAAGAAATATGCAACAGTTTGAAAATATATTAAAAGTACCATCGCACAATTTAGTAAAGATTTTATACAACATGTGATCTGTTGTATCAATCTCACAATCAATTAGCATAACCATTTGAAACCAACTAGATAATTTCACGGTGAAATATTTACATTGTAATATTGTAATCAATGCGCGAAAAATTATGTATACATTCTTTTTTTTAAGATCATTTTTTTAGCAAAAATATTTTTCGGTATCATTATTAATCTCAAACTTCAATTAACAAGAAATTTGATATCACATTTAATTGTTAAAATATGTGATATGAAAAATTAAAAAATTGCATATCAAAAAACATCCTCATTCGATTTCTGCAAAAAAGATAAAATCCAAATCAATTAAAAAGAAAAAAATAATGATCTGCTGTCAAACTAAATCAAATATAAATTCCTCAAACTACTAGAAGGTAAATAATTTTGGGAGATATGTATATCGCATGTTCAACATTTTTTGGCGCGTGATAAGACGCCCTTATACCCAAACAAATTGAAATTTCATACATCTTTCCCATGGTGCGAATGAGATAGTCGAGAGAGGGAAATATGATTTATTTCAACCTAGAGAAATAATTTTCGCGAGACTGGCACGGCAGTAGGTACGGATCGGCCGACCGACTCCTGTGCGACATTTGTTTTGCACTTGTTCTCACGAGAGAGAGTGCCACGATGAGAGCAGTCGCGATGTTCCACCCTCTTCCCTGAATCTTATCCCAAGGGAATCCCGTTCCCGGCACGCGAAACGTGTGTCGCACGCTGCCACCGCTGGGCGATCAAACGTACACACAATCAAATGTTACATAGGCGTATCTTTTTGAATAAATTCTCTGTATGATGAATAAAATGTCAGATAAATATAGAAAATACATCAATCTCACCAATCTTAGCAAACGATATGATACGCTATCTTGAAATACGTAACTTTGAAAAATAGTTGAGATAAAATCAATATCACAAGCTCAGATAAAATATACATTTCGCATATAAATTATAAAACCAGAAAATTATCTTTTTTACTTTTTTTTTAAATTAGAAAATTAAATTAATAACATTCAGATAGTAAGAATTGATCAATATTTTTTGCATATAAATTATATAATTACAAGAGATATATTTCCTTACCCATCCCTATTTTTGGATTTAAAAAATTAATTAATTGTTTATTTAAATCAATAATACAAAGATAGAATAATACTGTAAATTTTTATAATATCCCAATTTAAAGAAAACGCGTATTTCTACAGGATTACGCCACTGTTGGCTGAGGAAGCGACGCGTACATAGAATGTGTATGTCTTTGATATACACGAACGTGTCGGTCTCCCCTTAGTGGCCGGATACATACATATGTCCTTGATTTGTCCGGAGAATAATATTCTACTGCAAAGTTGATTAAATATTGGTTAGTGATCTCGGACACCCTCCGCGACCTTGCATCGCTTTTCGGTCCTGAAGAGAGAGACCCGCAGGAATACAATTTAATATTTCCGCGCCCGAAAACAGCGGGCGATCATTTTTCTTTTATGTAAACGGGTACATGAGAAATTGGTGATGTTTCCGAATCTCTGAGGAAAATCTATAAACAGCATTTAGAGTTCAAGTAGTACAAGTCAAGCTTGGCGCAACTTAAGATGCTTTCAGTCTGGCAATACAACATGAATGGGATAGAACAATTTTGGCATTTATCCTTTTTTAATTATTATGAATTATAAATACTTATCGTAATAGAATACTAAAAATAAAAGATTTTCATGTCTTATTGAACTATATAGATATCTCAGAAGATATAGATATCGAAAAAAAATCCAATTTTTCAAAACCTAGAAAGTTATACTTTAAGAGATATAAATGTACAATTAAATAAAAATTATGTTAAGTATAATTGGTTGCACTTCGCTAACAAATTTAAAATAAAATAATGGCATGTTTAATCAAAATATATACATATAAATTAAAGAGCATTGATAAAAATAGTGCTTTTGAATCGTCAATCTTTAAATCTATGTTAATAATTTAATCAACTATTTTTATTAAATTTGACAACTACTTAATATGTCATTATTTGAGCGACACTTCGCCGAGGATAAGAACATGTATATATATACATAATTTTCGATTATTTTTTATAAACTTTATTATAAAATATTGCATTGTGTTAGAGCCTTATCGATGTCCATCATGCTGCATAAAAATATAAGCAAGCCATTTTTGGGACATCTGCTATTTTTTTTTTCTTACAAAGACGCAATATAATTTATTTTAAACTATTTACATATATATATCTGTATAATGTATATATTTATATTTAATTTTTTCAGAACATGCTGTACATTACGCTTTACATGAATATCGTATGAAAACCGATTACCACAATGTTTTACAATAATTACAATAAAAATATAATGTAAAATGAATTTTTTACAGGACGTATTTAATGTTAACAATAATTTCAGCAAAAATATTTTTTATCGGGTAGGTTTCATAATTGTTTACTCTTATTTTAATACGATAAAGATTTATAGGATTCCAGTCTTCACATACTAAAGATTTTACATCTATAATGTAAGTATAATATGATCGTATAGAGTGTTTTATCATTATTAGCTAAAAGTTAAATAGCTTATTTTTTGACAAATTTAATAATGAGTTGTCTTAATAATCAGAATATCAGGAGTTCGTTTTTTAATGTACTTCACATAAATATATATTTTGCTTTAACAGATATTTTATTTCTAAAATTTAATTAATTTATAAAATTTAATATATTTATATTAAGAAATTATAACTATTCTTTCTTTATGTAATAGCTCGTCAAATCATTGCTAAGTAAAAATCTACCTTGAATTAAAGTGTATGTCATTTTAATTTCGTATGATGGTGCCAGACATACTGTGGCGTTTTATAAATCAAGCGTATATTCCTATAATTAAAAAATTGTTTAAACATAATTACTTACTCAATATTACACAATTAACTTATGGATATAAGAAATAATTGGACCGGCTATAATTTGTGTGGCGCGTTAAACAAACGTAAGGAGAGAATACACTATATTACTAACACAAAAAATGGGCAAAATTTAATATTGTACTAACGATAAGTGCAAAGTGTTAAAAATTATCAAAGCAGATAGATTGCAAATTAAACTAGAATATATATATTAAAAAGATTATATATATAAAATCTATAGAATGGGGAATACATATTATTTCCCCAACATCATATATTATAGGGACATAAATTTACAAATAAAAATTAGTTATTTAATTTACTACAGCATTTTATAATCTAATTTTCTAAGTTTCCGCTGATATAATTTTATTATGAACAGAAAAACGCTGTTTTACTATTTTTTTTTTTCAATTCTATTTGTACTGTAATTTTATAACTGTTATTTTCATGCCCAAAACGATACAACATGTAGGCATTTTGTCATATAAAATGTACTACGATAATTTACTATACTTACATGAGACTCCAAACTGTTCCAAAGCATATTGTGTTTTACTCAATACATTGAGAGCTGAATCAGTGCGTGACCGATCACAGATTTGTTATCTCTTTTTAACTACATTTCCTCTCCTTTCTATGCTTAATAGACATTTTACAGCTGGTCCAGTAATTTTCTTACGTCCATGAATCTATTTATACAAACTTTTCATGTATATATTTACTGATGTATTCTTAACTTATCTCCTAATTTTAACTGCTCATATTATTTTGTACATTGTTATTTCGAAAACTTCTAATTTTTATAACCTGAGTCATCCATAAGATACAACTGCATTTGCATGGCTAATGCTCAAAGACTTTAACGAATTTTTTCACAGTAATATGTTCATTAATATAATTCTTTAACTGATATATATTAGATTCTAATTTTTTGTATATAAATAAACAGATAATCTTTTTTATTGTTAACAAATTAGATTTTTTTGAATTATTATTTGCACGTAATCTCCTTCTTCTAAATATGCTGAAATAAATCAATTTAAACACTGCACTTTATTTAATTAATTTCTAGAGCTTTCCAAGCTACTGACATTTGTTTAGTTATCCTCCTCTCTTGCTCTATTTTTTTATATTACACTAGGCAGTTGTTTAATTAGCTTTTAGCGTCTAAAAACTGCATGAATCAAAATGGAATAAATATTAAAAGGACAAAGGCAATCAAAGAATCAATCAGATATGATCAGCGATCATCGTTACATGTTCGGATAAATAGCATAATACGGGTTCTTGAACTGTTTCGAATTGTATACACTCGGATCCTCTACAGAGAACGGTTGAATCACGTTGGCGGGCACGGTTTTCTGATTGTGCACATTCGCCATCATGTATTGTGGCGTGGATACGACCTGACCTACCGTCGCCTCCTCCACCAATTTTCTCTGAGAGTAGATCAGTAATTGGGGCATAGACGTGTCGTTCTGTTGCGGCGTGTTGTCCGCCGCAGAGACCGCGAACGTGGCTGTCGTTGAGCCGGATAACTGCTGCGCTTTGCACTTCTTCGTGTGGGCGTACAATGATCCGGCATTGTTGTAGCTTTTGGTGCAAAGTTTGCACACGTACGGTCGCTGACCGGTATGCGTGTACGTGTGCTCATTCAGCGAGGTCAATCGTCGGAAAGACTTGGCGCAGACATTGCAATGATACTTGGCCTCACCGGTATGCATGGTGATGTGTCGCGCCAGGGTGTTGGCTCGGGCGAACGCTCTGCTACAGTATTGGCAGATGTACGGTTTCTCACCGCTGTGGGTTCTCAAATGCAGTTGTAAATATGTGCTCTTGGTGAAAGCGCGGCTGCATGTGTTGCACACGTACGGCTTGATGCCGGTGTGTGTCCGCATATGCGCCACTAGTGAACCGC